CCTCATTCTCATTTGTCAGTGTGGTCCCACAAACTCTACTGAGCAGAAATTCCTTTCAGTATCTTGCATGTGAACAGCCCCTTTTGTAGACTCTTACAGCTGTGCAGGTTTCACCTGTGTTTGTGTTCTGTTGGTTCAGTCACAAGCAGAATTGGGGAAGGAATCAGGCACACCTACCTCAGTACTAATTTTTTTTGGCTGTCTTTTCCCAAAATGTCATAGATCAGTTACAGATAACAGAAGAGTAACTGTACAGGAAAACTGTCACTTTGGGCTGTCTGTGCTGCTTAAATGGGAAGGCAGCTGAATCTTTGATCCCAAGTTTTAAATTTCTTCTTACTGTGACTGTGAGGTAAAGGAGCCGGCACATCAAACATTTTCACCTGCAACAAATAGGAATCTTTTTTTTTTTTTCTTTTTTTGAGGCAGGGAGTCTTGCTCTGTCACCCAGTCTGGAGTGCAGTGGCCGGATCTCAGCTCACTGCAAGCTCCGCCTCCTGGGTTCACGCCATTCTCCTGCCTCAGCCTCCCGAGTAGCTGGGACTACAGGCACCCGCCACCTCGCCTGGCTAATTTTTTTTTGTATTTTAAGTAGAGACAGGGTTTCACCATGTTCGCCAGGATGGTCTCAATCTCCTGACCTCGTGATCCTCCCACCTCGGCCTCCCAAAGTGCTGGGATTACAGGCGTGAGCCACCGCGCCCGGCCAGGAATCATTTTCTTATGCACCAAATTGAGAACTTTGGAATGAGTGGCTCTATTCTTTCTTTTTTTTCCCCCCTCGTCTGTTCTCCACATCCCATTCATTCTATTTATTTTATTTTGTTGAGATGGAGTTTCGCTCTTGTTGCCCAGGCTGGAGTGCAATGTCACAGCCTGGGCTTACTGCAACCTCCACCTCCCAGGTTCAAGTGATTCTCCTGCCTCAGCCTCCCAAGTAGCTGGGATTACAGGCACCTGCCACCATGCCAAGCTAATTTTTTGTGTTTTTAGTAGAGACAGGGTTTCACCACGTTGGCCATGCTGGTCTCAAACTCCTGACCTCAGGTGATTCCACCTGCCTCAGCCTCCCAAAGTGATGGGATTACAGGCATGAGCCCCTGTGCCCAGCCTCATTCTTTTACATTTCTCTTTATGTGAATAATCTGCTCTTTGGTTTCGTTCTTTACTCAAGAGCCATGCTGACATCCAAGCTTCCATATCTTAGGAAGCATCTCACATTGCGTTTCATTAACAAATCCATTCATCAAATGTTGAGTAAAGGCCTGTGATGTGCCTGGCCTTCTTTTAGGAGCTGGACAGAATAAAGTTCCTGATCTCATGGAACCTACATCATATCTCATGAAGCTTATGTTCTAGTAAAAGAAATAGATAATAAATAAATATACGTCAGGTGGTACCAATGCCAGGAAGAAAAGAAAGCCAAGGTACAAGGCAACAAATGGTGGCAAGAAAGCCCCTTTCAGGGCCTCTTCTTCAGCATATCCTTAAAACATGGGGAAAGAGTGCTGGACAATCCTGGCTATACAGTCATACTTCAGCAGGACTCCCCAATAGTTGTGAAAGGGATGTAGGTATGTTTGTCCATGAACTTCCCTAGTAATATAAGACCACTCTGTGTATTATGAAATCGCCTGGGTCTCTCAAATGTGTGACTCTCAGATCCTAAAACCCTCATCTATAAAATAAAAATGACTACATCCCAAGGCTATGGTGAAGATTCAATAAGCCAGTGTCTAAAAATGGCCGGGCAGACAGTCAGCAGTAACCATGTGCTGGCTTTTCTTTCCCCATTTCTCCCTTCCCCTTTCCCGGACTCTTACCTTGATAAAAACAGCCTTCTCCCCAAGCCATACACATGATCTGACAGAGAGCCTCATGAAGGAACAATTAGAAGGCAGACTCATTTTTCTTTATTATAAAATTTCCTTAATGCCATAGAGCCTCAATATCTTCAGATAACTTGGCATGACTAGAAAATAATTTCTTGGGTTCATCTAGAGTCTGAATGGCCTTAGGCAGGTGCTATTATGTAGAGGAAGGTTCATGAAAATGCCATGAAGGAACTAAGGCATTGAGTTATAGATATCCTAACATGTGAGCACATGAGAAAGAGACATGAGACCTGTTTGGGAGTTGGAAGTTGACTACCACATCTCTCTCCAACACATCATAACCAGGATAAATATGGAAACTTATTAAAAAATCTAAATCTCATTTCCTCCCATTGCCCTCAATGTTACCATATTAATAACGAAAATAAATTCTCTGGTAATATTTTTTATATTATGAGAAACATTAACATTGACAAGAGCTTCCTTACCCTGACAGTTGAAATCCAGGTTAACTTAGCCCCCTTATAAGGCTCTTAATTGTTTTTTCATTATAAGACAAGTCAAAATCAAACTCATTACGCTTTCACCAGATCACCCCCACTGCGGCCTCTTCTTTTGGTGTACACAAAAAAGCTCTCTGTTAGAAATAGGAGAACACATCCCTTTGACCCTGATCAAGATGTTTAGTTTCTCGGTGTCTTGGGCTCAGACCAGATGAACTCCAAGGGAGTTCCCGTACATCTCCTGAACTTTTCCTATGAAAGTATTCTTCCCCTATTCTTCCTTCCTTCATCCATTTCTACTTCCTCTCGGGTCATAATCCACACCTGCAATATCGGATTGCCCAATTCAGCAGGGTCTTCTTCCATTGTTCCGACAGCTCCAGGAATGTGGTTGTGGTGAATCTCCTGTATAGCTGGGCAATCTTTCCTCATACAGCCTCTCCAGTGAGCGAGGACAAGCACATACCGCACTGCATATTTGCACTCTGTTAAATAGATGCAGCTTTTAAGTCCTCATTCATCCCAGCCTCCAGAGAGAGGGTAAGGACAAGGACTCCTGGTAGTGAGGAGAGGAGATTTAGGACCCACCTTAGGAAAATTGTGAAAAATACAAAAAGCTAGCAGTCATTTTCCAAGTAGACCTAGATGACTACAGATTTATCACCTGTCTGCCCCTCCATTTTTATATTCACAGAGTTGGAATACTGCCAACTTTCTATTTTGATCTTGCTTTTATTAATGAGAGCCCTGGCCTCAGAAAGAAACACACCAGAGTCCAGGCCTGCTGGCCAGGAGCACTGTGGAGCAGAGTACTCTTTGGGGACCAACTGTTCACTACTTAGCCAATCTAACTGGCCCTGTTCTCACTGTTTCTCACATTCCACTGCTTATTTGGTTGTAAAGTACTTTTCTCCCCATCTCTGCCTTACCATTGCATCACATTAGAAAAGCATCCTTTCACTTCTGTGCAAGGCTCTACAATTAAAAGAAATAATGGAAAGGCACTTCTCATGATGGAAAATTCCATGTTATCCAGAGATATGAATAAGGAGGAAAGACAGCTATCAGCGAGCATCCTTTGAGCCTAACTGAAGCCATGTTACAAACCATTTGTGATGGTGCCAGAAGGAACCAGAACATTGCAAAGGATGCAACATGCACTACAATGTGGGTCCCCTGACTTTGCTTTGATTGAAATGTAAAGACTCAAAAAAATTCTGGAACACTGAAATAAGATTGACAACTTTTAAGTTTTCAAATGAGATCATTAAAAAACAAAGAAAGGCTACCCGCTATTATGGCCATTTCATTTAAAAAGGATGTTTTAGTGGTATGCCCATACAATGTAATATTTTATTGAGATATAAAAATAGTAAAGTTCTAACACATCCTACAACATGGATGAACCTTGAGAACATTAAGCTACATGAAATTAGCCAGACACAAAAGGACAAACACCATATGATCCACTTACATGACGCATGTAAAGGAGGCAAATGCATAGAGACAGGAAGTAGCTGAGAGGTTACCCAGGGTCGGGGGAGTGGGGAATAGAAAGTTACTGCTTAATGGGCACAGAGTGTGTTTGGAGTGGTAAGAAATTTTTGAAATAGATAGTGGTGATGGTTGTATAACATTGTGAGTGAAGTTCCACATAATACAATGCCAGTGGATTGTATACTAAAAATGGTTTAAAATGGTCAAAACTGGAAGGCATTTTCATACACACAGTGGAAAGCACAGAAGTTCACCCATGGATGCTTTCATTGAGGTAGCAGAAAGGACAGGTGCAGTTCCAGGTGAGTTTGTCAGCTGAGCTGTGAAAGAGAGAGTTCTAGCTCATCTGCTGAGAATGAAAGGGTCTTGGCATTAGATCTTACTTCTTCTGAAAACAGCTCTCTACTCCTTTGTTCAGCCTTTAATGTTCTCCATGATCTGGTCCTGGGCTTACTTCACCAACGCACTCACTACGATGAAGCCTTCACTTCAATCAAGCTCGGGAGCACACCCAGCTCTCTGCCACCTCCATCTCCTTAGTCGGGCTGTTGTTCCTTTTCCTTGGTTCAGCCGCCTCCTCCCCATCTTCAAGGCCAGCTCAAGAACCGTCTCCATGTGGAGAAGATCCTTTCTCCCTAATTAGCCTTCATCCTCCTCAGCCTTGACCACCAATGGCATTTGAGATGCCACTCCCCACTGGCCCTTACCCACAGCAGTGGGCCGATTACGGCTTTCCATTGGTTAATCCTGGGCAGGCGCCTTCTCATACGGAGCTTCCCTAAACAAGTGCTAAAGGTCTTATAAGTACTCAGTGGATACCCACCTCGGCCTCCCAAAGTGCTGGGATTACAGCCATGAGCCACCACTCCACCCTCCAATTATTTCTTAGGATTCCTGGAAGTAGAGCTTACAGGTCAATGGTAAGAACCTATTTTTAAGATGCTTTTTAAATGAAATACGGGTGATAAAACAGATTTAGGGTACATGCTAATTTTTTAGTACTTTGATGTGCTCAAAAAAATTTTAACCAGTTAAAACTCCAACTTTTAAAAAATAAATTCAAAGAATTTAAATAGATGTTTTTCCACATTCCATCCACTTCAAACTATGAAAGCATGTAAAAAGCACAGAAATCTAACATTGATTTGGGAGACAAGACATATCCTAATTTCAAACAATTTTTTATTAGTTGTTTAATCAAATGAGAAAAAAAGGTTAAGCAGAAAAAGATGAACCCACATTTGTAGAAAGCAATTTCCTCCAAATTTTAAAGAAAAAAATTTTATTCTAAGAAATACATATTCATTATAGAAAATTTGGAAAATACAGAGAATAGAGAAAACATGAATTTCCCAGAATCCAACAATACACAGATAACCTTACAGTTTTACTATTTTCTATACACGTGTATTTTTAAACAATTTGCTCTTTTCTTCTTCCCCACCCTACCCCCCAAAAAAGTGGGGAAGGCAGCTCCTGGCAGGCCACACCTGAGCCTGCCTCTCCACCATTCCATCCTCGCCACCCGGCCTCCCTTCCGCTGAGCTGTGGCCCGTTTCCTCGCTTACGTCCCAGACTTTTCTATAAACACACAATCCACCCCACGGCATGCCAAGGCTGCTCTGCCCCCCGAACTGCCAATGCCCAGCGAAACGGGAGGACTCAAAGTCAACTGCCAAGCTACCTTCTTCACTCCAGAGCCAGGCTCCAGGAAACACCGAAGATTTATCTCAGCTGACCAACAACGGAAGCAGTAAGTAATACCTCTTAAAATGTATATAGCACTTTAAAGTTTAAAAAGTCCTCCCACACACATTCAATCTTCACAAAACCCTCTGAGGCAAACAGAACAGATATCCCCATTTAACAGAAAAGGAAACCAAGGCATAGAGGGGTTGGGTGAAAAGCAAAACTAGTGAGTGGCTGAGCTTGGATGTGGAGCCATAAACTGACTCCAAGGTCAGAGCTCTTTAACATAGCCATTATTAGCAAACTATTTTTAATCTGACCACTGGAAATTAAGAGTCAGAAGGATCTGTAATCCTCTAATGTAGTAGCCTCTTAGTAGTCACATATAAGGAACATAAGGCCCGGAAAAACTAGATGATTGACCAAAGTCGCCAGCTAGTAAGTGACGAAGTAGGTCTGAAGGCACAGTCTTCAGACTCCCAGGCCAGTGCTCACTCCGGTCGTCCCTAGAGAGAGAGAGATGGTAATAGGTGGTCTCTAATCGGGTGTCTTCTGCTTAGCCAAATGTCAATCAGGAATTAAAATCCTAAAAGTGTAGAATGTTAGAGCCAGAAAGGACCCTACGGACCACTCAGGCAACGCCCTGGCTTCACAGATGAGGAACGTGAGTCCAAGCCCCGATGTTCCATTCTGTGTATCTTGCACCCATCATGTTACTTCACTTCCCAACACAGTCAGAAATTAAATCTGGCCAAAGATGTTTACTTCCTTCTTTGACACTCAGTATGAGACAGGCTACAGATCAGCAAAGCGAAAGTGAAATTAAACAGGATTTGACATTCAGAAGATACTTGGCTGGTAACGGATTTACCCACCATGACTGTATCACAAAATAACCAACCTCTGCTGGGTTCCAAGGAGGCTCCCCGATTCTGCCTCTGTCCTCCACCTCCCCTCCCCAGTGAGCCAGAGAGGGTCTACTGAAATGTGTCTCTGGTTTAGGAAAGGGTGCCCACGGTCCTCCACAAGTCACATGGCCCTACAATTTGTGAAAATGTAGCAATACTCTGGCCAAAGGCTTCTACTCCGCAAGGCAACCAGGAGCACCTCCCCAGGCTGTCCCTCCTCCTAAGGTCACTATCTCGGCACCATCGAAATCCGCACGTGACTGTCCATCACCTTGATTCTTCGGCAGTTCCTTGGTCCCATGGCTAGCCTTGTCTCTCCAGTGAGACGGGAAGCCCTTTGAGGGACAGGGACCACTTCCTCTATTGAACAACTACGTGCCAGACAATGTGCTTGGCAGGGTAAGACATGGCTCCTACCTTCAAGAAACTTACAGAAGGATAAGCAAAACCATGTGCAAAAAAGTAAGTGCAGCCACGTAGATGTAAACAGGAAGCCAAGGAGCCCAGAAGAGGGGCATCTACTGGAGGGGTGGGGTAGATGCCCGGTCTTAAAAGCCAAAAGAAGGCGGGAGGGCAAGCCAGGCAGGAAGGCCAGCGTCAAGGAGAGCAGCAGCTTTGTTTACAGGAGATAAAAAACAGTTCGAAGTTGCTGGAACATCAAGCGCAAGGCAGGGAGCGGTGGGAGTTCAGGCGGGAGCGGTGGGGCCTAGCAAGGTGGCCGCAGGCACGAGCCCGCGTAATTCCCAGCAGCTAGGTACAGGGAGGGCCGCTTACGCAATTCGCAAGTGAACAAATTTGGGTGCTCATGGCGAGGCTCTGTCAATGACGGTCGGTGGTGGCGCCGCCAGCCCCCCATCCCCCGTGCACCTGTGCGCCTTCGCAGCTGCCAAAGCAAACGCAGGCTGCCCGACTTTGCCAGATTTTCAAAGCGGGCCGCCGGCCCCGGGCCACGGCCACGGCCGCCCCGGGCCCCCGCCCCCGGACCCCTCGTTTATCCGCTCGGGTTACAGCGCCTGTTGACGCACTGTGGCAGCCGCCTGCGCGCCAGCGGGGCCCGGTGGTTTTCTCTGCAGTCGTCACCAGGTTTTCCCGAAGAAGAGTCCCTCCCGACCCGGGGCTGGGGGCGGCGAAGGCTGCCTTGGCCCGGCTGGCCCCAGGCGGGGCACGGCGGCGGGGAAGGGGCCGGGGCGCAAGGGGCCGCCGGGGCTTGCGCGAGGCGCAGTACCGGGAATCCGTCCCCCCGGGACAGCGCGGCGGGAAACAGGACGAGCGCCCTCTTCTCCGTGCCCGCGCCCCCAGGCGCCAGGGGTGGCAGCGGCCTCAGGGGTCGAAGGAGGCGGCTTGGGCTCCCCGCGCTGCGAGACTCAGGCACGGACTGGGGCTGGGGCCGGGACCGGGACCGGGGCAGGCGCCCGCGGCGGGGGCGCAAGCGGCGCCCGGGAGCGGCTTGGGGCAGGGGCGCGCTCGGCCGGGGCGCTTGGTGGCCCCGGGCCCGCGCACTGGCGCCCAGACCGCTGTCATTACCTGGCCAGTGTAGTTTTCCCGGAGCCCGGGAGGCCTCGCAGGAGGTAGAGGTGTTTCCTAAAGCTGTGGCGGCGCGGAGGTGTCCCCCGCGGGGGCGGCCGGGGCGGCCGCTGCCGCTGCTGCTGCTGTTGCTGTTGCTGCTGCTGGAGGCTCAGCCTCCCAAAAGATTGAAGGAAACTGTCCTCCATGGGCAGGAGGGCTGGCTGCGAGAGCCCCGGGTTCCCTTTCCTGAAGTCACGGTCTTGGCCAAAGCTGTTGTTTTTGTGACTCTCCGGCCATGTGATGGATAGAGGGGCGGGCGCTGGGAGCCCAGCCCCTCCTTTCCACCCGCCGGAACCGCGCTGCGTGGGAGGGGGCGTCCCTACCTGGAAAGCTGGGGACGCTGGGAGACTGACAGCCCGGAAAACAAGGGTGACGCACCCACCCCCACCTCGACCCCCGCTCCGACTCCTGGTGCCCTTCACCCTGAGGGAGGGGAGGGGAGAGGAAGGGTCCCCGTCTAGTGGGTCTCTGGGACACTTTCCCGGCCGGGAAGCCAGGCCTCCTGCCACAGCCCTCCCCAACCCCAGCCCTGACCTGCCTAAACCCTGAAAGTGAAATCATTTTAGTTGATGATTAATGAGCTGCCCGGCATTGTAAATGGCAACAGTAAAGGCCATTGTCTTCCCCGATTTGTGGGCACCAACATCTGGCTGGCGTCCCAAGGGCTACTACCACTCTCCCAGGGCCTGTATCTTTTCTTGTTTCATCTTTCTTTAGCAGCCTGCCAAAAATATTATTAGAAAGCTTTGTTGCCTCTACATAACTTTGAATCTCTTCTTCCTCAGAAAAAGCAGCCATAAAACTCAGATTGATTTATGAACAGTAGCATAAGGGCTACCGCCCAGGTCCCTGCCCTGTTGCCACCTGGGAAGTGGGGGGCTTCTTGGAGAACTCTTTCAGATCCCAGGGGAAAGTGGCAGAGTCTACCCAAACCATTTATAGAGAAGTATCCAGACTTCAGTTCTCAGTTCCAGGAACTACGGAGCACCCATTGGTTGATCACCACTGTGACTCTCCAATAGTTCACCCTCAGGAGCGTGATAGAGTGATCCTGTTTTCTGAACCAAAATTCCCCATGCCTGCCTGAAAGAAACAACATTCAAAATTGACACCATCCTGGCAAATCCAGAATATATGGTGGCTTTGGCTATAATAATTATTGTAAAGTAATAAATTCTATTTCTGGCAGCTGAGATACTAAAATTGTGAAAAGAAAGTATGAAAAAAGTGTGATTTCCTTCTAAAACAAAATCCAGAGATTTCACAGTTAGCTTTTAGGAAGGGACTGTCCAAGTGGGGAGGGGCTCTGTGCTGAGCATTTCCCTTTCCCCTTGGGATTTCTAGGGGTGGGGTAGGGTGGAGTGGGAGATGAGCTGCTCTCCCTTGAAAATCTATTCCCAGCACGGAAGAAGAAGACTTTCTTCATTTTTCTCAGCACTGCTAAGAAACAATGGAATTTCAAAGACCTCTAAATATTAGGAGGGAACCCATAAGGAACAGAAAATATACCTGAATCACAAAAATAGTGACACAATCTCTGTATCCTATCATACTTCTTACAGGAATGTTTTGCCCAGCCTCGCATGCTACCTTTTTCATTTTAACCTGCACTGGCTAATATGGGGGCCACTGGTCACATGTGGCTGGTGAGCACTTGGAATGTGGCTACTGCAAACACACTGTGCCCGGGCCCGATGCAGTGGCTCACACTCATAATCCCAGCACTTTGGGAGGCCAAGGCAGGAGGACCACCAGGAGTTTGAGACCAGCCTGGGCAACATAGTGAGACCCTGTCTCTACCAAAAATTCAAAAATTAGCCAGGTATGGTGGTGTGTGCCTGTAGTCCTACCTCCTCAGGGGGCTGAAGTGGGAGCATCAGTTGACCCAGGGAGTTTGAGACTGCAGTGAGCTATGATGGTACCACTGTACTTGAGCCTGGGCAACAGAGCAAGACCCTGTATCCTAAAAAACATAAAGTAAAATTTTAAAAATACACACTGAATTTTGAAGATTCGGTATGAAAATAGAAATACTAAAAATTTTTTATATTGGTTATATGTTGAAATAGTATGCTGGGTATATTGGGTTAATAGATTATGAGAATTAATTTCATTTATTTTTATCTTCTATTGTGGCTACTAGAAAGTTTAAGTTACATGCGTGGCTGGCATTGTATTCCTACTGGACAGGGCTGCATAAGTATCCATCCACTTCCATTTCCCTCTTTGTTGAGAGGTCCCAGGCAGCAGCCGCAGGAAGACACGCAGCTTTGTGGGCAGGGGTTTCAGCCCAGGGCTTGTGGCAAATGGAGCTATCTAACATGCCAGGAAACATGAGTGTGCTCCTTAGGAGAGGGGGCTGAGCTCAGAGCTTTGGAAATCCTTGCTCCTATGAGAAGGAGATAGAGAAGAGAGCAGACAGCTGAGGAAAGGGTCCTGAGGACACCAGCACTGAAGGACTGTGCCCTCAAGTGGATCTAGCAAAGGAGAGGATGATTGAATGACCAACAAGTAAACAGAACACTGAAAGATGCAGGGAAGCCCAGGGAGGGAGTCAGCAGTACCTGGAGACAATCCTACACACTTTCCTTTCACTTTTCTTTAGTTGACATTTAACTAGTCAACAAACTCTTATTTTCCCCAATGTATTCCTCAAAACCACAGCTTAAAGTAAACTGGGTATCTGTTTCCTCTCACTAGAGGCAGTAAGAGGGCAGGGAGAGTGTCTTATTTATCCTTGTCAGCCCAGGCTGTACCACAATATCGGCCTGACATTCAGAAGGTGCTTGATAATTGTATATGAACCTCAACTATTTTCTTAAAAGCTAATCCTGAGTTTGGGATTTACTAAAAATTAAAGCTGAACAGGCTGAGTGCGGTGGCTCGTGCCTGTAATCCCAGCACTTTGGGAGGCCAAGGCAGGCTGATCACCTGAGGTCGGGAGTTCCAGACCAGCCTGACCAACATGGAGAAACCCCGTCTCTACTAAAAATACAAAATTAGTCAGGCATGGTGGCACATGCCGGTAATCCCAGCTACTCAGGAGGCTGAGGCAGGAGAATTGCTTGAACTCGGGAGGCAGAGGTTGCGGTGAGCCGAGATCATGCCATTGCACTCCAGCCTGGACAAGAGTGAAACTCCACCTCTAAATAAAATAAATGGCTGAACAAGATAGTGATAATGTAAAGGAGTAACATAAACAGAGCCAGCACGATCTCACTTTGCTACACTAGAAACCAATACTATCATGGACATAAAGAAAATAATCTTATAAACACTATTTTTGTTTTGTTTTGTTTTTTTGAGATGGAGTCTCGCTCTGTCACCCAGAGTGGAGTGCAGTAGTGCGACCTCAGCTCACTGCAAGCTCCACCTCCTGGGTTCACGCCATTCTCCTGCCTTAGCCTCCTGAGTAGCTAGGACTACAGGCGCCAGCTACCACGCCCAGCTAATTTTTTTGTATTTTTAGTAGAGACAAAGTTTCACCGTGTTAGCAAGGATGGTCTCAATCTCCTGACCTTGTGATCTGCCCGCCTCGGCCTCCCAAAGTCCTGGGATTACAGTCGTGAGCCACCGCGCCCGGCCATAAACACCGTTTTTGGCAATGAAGAAACATTGAAATTTTTCTCTAACTATCACTGTTTAACAAGATGTGGAAAAGTAAGAAGGTATGAAGGAAGAGCTAGTGGAAACCAGGAATATAACCCTCAAACCTAGAGCTCCAAATAACCCTGGACTTGGAATGCTTAGCAATCAATCAGTGGCCGGGCATGGTGCCTCAGGTCTGTAATCCCAGAACCTTGGAAGGCTGTGGCAGGAGGATCACTTGAGGCCAGGAGTTTGAGACCTGCCAGGGCAACACAGCAAGATTACTGTATTAGTCAGGGTTCTCTAGAGAGTCAGAACTGATAGGATGGATGGATGGATGGATGGATGGATGGATGGATGGATGGATGGATGGATAGATGATAGATAGATAGATAGGTAGATAGATAGATAGATAGATAGATAGATAGATAGATACATAGGGAGTTTATTAGGTAGTATTTAACTCAAACGATCACAAGGTCCCACAACAGGCCATCTGCAAGCTGAGGAGCAAGGAAGCCAGTCTGAGTCCCAAAACTGAAGAACTTGGGTCCAATGTTCAAGGGCGGGAAGCATCCAGTGTGGGAGAAAGATGTAGGCTGGGAAGCTAAGCTAGTCTAGCTTTTACACATTTTTCTGCCTGTTTTATATTCTGGCCACACTGGTAGCTGATTAGATTGTGCCCACTCAGATTAAAGATGGGTCTGCCTTTCCCAGCCCACTGACTCAAACGTTAATCTCCTTTGGTATCACTCTCACAGATACACCCAGGATCAATTCTTTGCATCCTTCAATCCAATCGAGTTGACACTCCGTATTAACCAGCACAACCCCATCTCTATTTTAAAAAGTTAAAAATTAGGCATTGTGGCACACATCTATGATCCCAGACTGGGGAGGCTGAGATGGGAGGATCACTTGAGTAGGTGTAGTGAGCTATGATTGCACCACTGCACTCCGGCCTGGGCAACAGAGCAAGTTTAGTGAAGAAACATAAACAGAAAACTACAAAATGAACATAAGGAAAACACTGAGATATCTTAAGTGCAGCACTAAATTCCCAATAAAGATGACGGATTAAACACAAGTATTCAATTTCTCCTTCCTCTTTGAAACCCTGCTAGAATGTAAAGGGGGTTAGTTTGGCTTATTTTATTTTTTTAGCGGAGTGGTTGTTTTGTTACTATTTTTCTTTTAAGCATAAAGAAGAGAGAGAGATCACAGCAACAAAATTTTGGAAACTGGAGAGCAAAAGGCCAGGTGTTAATTGATTTGGCCAAAAAAAAAAAAAAAATCCTCTGATTATTTATAGACAGCCAAGAAACAACACAAATTACCCAGCATAAACCCTAAATCTCCAAAACTGGAAAGTTTGGAGGCGGGGCTGTAAACCAGAAGGGCAGTGTAAAGTCTGTTTAACAAACGAATGTCCACACCCTAAGCAGTTGCCTGCGCCTCCCCAGGCCTAGAGGTTTGCTCCTCTGAGAAAATTAGATAGACATCTGGGAGAAGTAGGGTAAGATAAGACCCCGGGCTCCCTTTCTGCAAATGGAGATTAAGTTGATGTCTACATGTTGAATAGTGAGTAGTCACTCCTTAATTTATATTTTGTAAATATGAATTTTCATATTTTAAGTTTATTAAGTACAACTAAACTAAAACAGAATAAAAAATAATATTAATAACTTGTAGTACAGTACAAGTCCCACAATCCCTAACCAAAATTCTAGAGGTCAGATACACTTCAGAATTCAGAAAGTGTTTGTTGTTTAAAGGTAATAGTACTGTATATTATCCTATATTCCCAGTGGGGTGTGGTGCAGACCTCGGTAGTTAAACACATTAATATGTCTACAATGAAATATATGAATATACTTTATACATTCCAAGTGGGATAAATAAGGAGTAAAATTAATTGCCTACATTTTTGGGTCAGGTTTTTTTTTTTCTCTTGGCTCATTACAATCTCTGCCTCTCGTGCTCAAGCAGTCATCCCTGCCTCAGCCTCCTGAGTAGGTGGGGCTACAGGCTATGCCACCACACCTGGCTAATTTTTGTATTTTTTGTAAAGATTGGGTTTCACCATGTTGCCCAGGCTGGTCTCAAACTCCTGGGCTCAAGTGATCCTCCTGCCTCAGCCTCCCAAAGTGCTGGGATTACAGGCATGAGCCACTGTGCCCAGCTCATATTTGGGTCAGGTTTGGCTGTAAACTTAGTTTTAATGTGAAACTTATTTAAAAAACAGAAACAGTGGTTGCCAGGGGCTGAGGGAATGGGCCTTTTTTTTTTTTTTTTTTTTTTTGAGACGGAGTCTCGCTCTGTCACCCAGGCTGGAGTGCAGTGGCCGGATCTCAGCTCACTGCAAGCTCCGCCTCCCGAGTTCACGCCATTCTCGTGCCTCAGCCTCCCGAGTAGCTGGGACTACAGGCACCCGCCACCTCGCCCGGCTAGTTTTTTGTATTTTTTAGTAGAGACGGGGTTTCACCGTGTTAGCCAGATGGTCTCGATCTGCTGACCTCGTGATCCACCCGTCTCGGCCTCCCAAAGTGCTGGGATTACAGGCTTGAGCCACCGCGCCCGGCCGGGAATGGGTCATTTTTTAATGGATATAGAATTGCAGTTTTGCAAGGTGAAAAGAGTTCTGGAGATGGATGCTAGTAATGGTAGCACGAATGTATTTATAACACACTTAAAAGCAGTTAAGATGGTAAATTTTATATTTGTGTATTTTACCACAGTGAATACATTTGGAAAAATAACTTTCAATTTTCAGAGCTTTTTAGATTTCAGAATTCTAGAAATGGGATCATTTCTAGACCAATACTTTGATATAGAGGCTAACCTTTTAATCCTAATGCAGTTTTTAAAATAAGGTACTCAAGTTTTCTGTGCCTCATTTTCTTCTATCAAATTATAAAGTATGGTAAACATCTACAAATTAGACAATAAAATGTTTAAATTGTTACCTCCTCTGTTGAGTTTTTTTTATTATTCAGATAACTTATCGAGAATGGTTGGACAGATTATCCAAACTAATTTTGGTATCCAACGGGTATGTCTCTGGAAAGAATCCCTTGGGTTGGCACTGGGCACTCTGACTTTTCTCCATGATCACGATCTTCAGCAGTACCATGAAGACAGCAGAAGTCAACTACAAGCAAACACAAGCCCAGACAAGACCAGAAAACGTGTGACATGAACAGAGTTTGTTTTCAGGTTCCCAGTCTTTACTCCCTGAGCTATGCCACTCCCCTGGCATCCAGGACTTCACAACTGTCCCCATAGTCCACACTGCTTAGTCCTGCCTCATTCAAGATCCTGTTCCCTGACATTTCCCAACTCCCTGTCCTTCAGCTGAAACTTGTTCTAGATCCCATTCCCTGAGGATCCAGCTATGTACATTACAAAAAATTTAAAACAAATGCACTAATTCATGCAAATGTGTTAACATGTTTACTGGGCCAATATGTTCCTCTCCTAAAGAACACAATTTCTATTTTGCCAGAGAGCATTTCAAAGGCAATGTTTTGGCCGGGCATGGTGGCTCATGCCTGTAATCCCAGCATTTTGGGAGGCCGAGGTGGGCAGATCACTTGAGGTCAGGAGTTCAAGACCAGCCTGGCCAACATGGCAAAACCCTGTCTCTAAAATAATAAAAATACAAAAATTAGCTGGGTATGGTGGCGGGCCATAATCCCAGCTGCTCAGGAGGCTGAGATAGGAAAATCGCTTGAACCTGGGAGGTGGAGGTTGCAGTGAGCCACTGTACTCCAGCCTGGGCTACAGAGCAAGACTCCATCTCAAAAACAACAACAACAACAACAACAATAATAATAGTAATAATAATAAAGACTGGGCACGGTAGCTCATGCCTGTAATCCCAGCACTTTAGGAGGCCAAGGCAGGAAAATCACGAGGTCAAGAGTTTGAGACCAGCCTAACCAACATGATGAAACCCCGTCTCTACTAAAAATACAAAAAAAAATTAGCTGGGTATGGTGGCAGGCGCCTGAAATCCCAGCAACTCGGGAGGCCGAGGCGGAGAATCGCTTGAACCCAGGAAGGCAGAGGTTGCAGTGAGCCGAGATTGCACCACTGCACTCCAGCCTGGGCAACAAGAGTGAGACCCCATCTCAAAAAAGAAAGGAAGGAAGGAAGGAAGGGAGGGAGGGAGGAAGGAAGGGAGGGAGGGAGGAAGGGAGGGAG